CCCTACCCCTTTGGACCTTTTCCTATTTCAAAGTATCAATTATTAGTTATTAATCCTTTTAGTCCTTATTTACACTCTCAGTTTCTCACACTAGTTAAAATGTATCACATAAGAGCTACATTCTTTTCACTGATGCATATTTACCAATGACAGAAAAGGACATTTTTAATCTCTGAAAAAAAACTATTGATAAAGAATCACGGTACAGATGAAACAGCTGAAGCCTGATGTAACAGTTTCCAGCAACAATAAATTTAAAAATAAAGGGAAAAATATCAAAACCATTGTTAGTATTTTCCAAACACTTAAAAAGCCATGAATACTGGATATAGAAAAAACTTTAACATATTTCCTTTTTAATAAAAGGCATAATATAACCCTTCAAAATATCTTTGATAATATATGCTCACACCCGAAGAACCTCATTATTTAGTCAAAAATAATGCCTTTTCACTAAAACGTGAATTTGAACCTTTTTCTTAATAGTTGAGTGATTTTTATAAAAAATAAATTTCCTTAGGAAAAAAATTGCCAATTGGAATATCTTCATTTTAAGAAAAAAAAATGCATTTTTCTCTGAAACTAATGAATTTTGGTCCTTGGGTATAAGAACATCCATTGACTTATGCAAGTGAGAATAAATTATTGTGCTCCTAGAAATTAGTTCTTTCACTATCACAGTCTGAGGCAGCATCTGAAAACTTGAATAAAATGTTAGATGCTCAGGCAAACATCAGTGAGCAGAACTAAGTATGCTGAATCCCTTCCTCACCTCTAGGAACTGCATAGTGATGGTAGACTGCAGTCCTATAACATCATCTAGTGCCTCTTGCTAACCACACATTGAAACATGTTTGAGTTTATATTTAAACTCAATGTCATTTAATGGTGGTAAAATGCCCAAGCCTACACGGGACTGGTCCAAAGGGGGACATTTAGCTTGGCTCTCCACAAGCTCCAGTTCAAAATACAAAAGCATCAGAATCAAAAATTGCTTGATTTCTTGGACAGCGAATAATCTTCCTGGACATATTGTAGCTCCCGATCCAAAAGGCATGTAGTAGTACTTTAACTTGATTCCATTGCTGTAGAAGGTGGTCTTTGTTTTCTTGTTTTCATCAAGATACCGATCATATTTAAAAGTCTGCAATAAAAATACAAAAAAAAAATGTCTATAAGCTACTTTGAAGGAATGTATGTCTCTTTCTTGACCTGGAAGCTCCAAAGAGGAATTTTCTTTTTTAATCTTCTCCATCAGTGATATAGCAAATACCGTACACTGAATGAGAGAGTAAGTAATAAGGGACAGGAGCTTAATTGGTGGTCCAAGAAAGCTTTAAGATACCTTCTCTCCTGCCTGGTAATGAGTTCCTAGGTCAAAAGCACTACCAAGAATGGTTCCACTCAAACTGAAAGTCAGTATACTAAACTCCAGTTTCATGGATTTGACAAGTACTTTTTAAGGAAAAGTAAGGAGGCAGATTTATTTGATGACTGCAAACATAATATAGTGGAGATGATAGGATGACAAATATTAAAACTAAAAATTAAAAATTTTCCAAAATATATGAATTTTGACATAAGGGGACAATGTCTGTCATTTCAATGATCTAATCAGTTCTACAACTGTAGATGCCCTTCTTATTTAGACTTTAGTTGATATCACCCAGATACGCAACTTTTTGACAAGCAGTCACTTACCAGAGGGTCTGGGTAGATTTCTGGATCTAAATGCATTAACTGTGGATAAAGAGCTATGATGTCATCTTTTCGGATGTTGTAGGAACCATCCTCAAGGTGCAAAGTGAAATCCTCCTTAGCTGTCCGAATATTCAGGGAGGCACTGGAAAGCCTCAAAGCCTCTTTGATGATACTATCTAAATATTTTTAAAGAAAGGAGAAAAAGAAAGAAAAGAATTCAAAGAAGGATGAAAAGGAGAGGAGAACAATTTAAATATTTCAAGGTCACATAATAAAGTGTCTGAAATATTTCTGGGAGCTTATAACACAAAGATGAACAGAAAATAGGAAGCTGGCCACATATAAACTTCCCAAACTTTTTTCTGTTAAAATGATGCTATTATCAATGATTCAATTGTGTCTGAATGTATTTTTTAATCTGATCATCTGAATTAATAACTGATAAAGATACATTCTTATGTGTCAGTGGGAACTCCACTTACATCATTTTACTTGAAAATAATCTTTCATTTTCTTTTGGTTTTTTTTGAGACAGGATCTCACTGTGTAGTTCAGGTTGGTCTTGGACTTACTGTGTAGCCCAGGCTGGCCTCGAACTCACAGTGATCCTCCTGCCTCAGCCTCCTGAGTGCTGGGATTTCAGGTGTGCACCACTATACCTGGCAATAATCTTATTTCTATATGACATTGAACAGCTAGTAAACTTAGAAACATCAGTAATGAATTTTTATGTGAATCATTCAATGTTTAGTACTTTTGAGGTCTAATATACTGATATTATTTTTATATAGAAATGATTTTCAGGATGCTTTGTGTAACTTCAATTCAGTATTAATAAGCACTCATTTTTATCTGTACAATATCTGATGCTGTATGGTAATGCTCTGATAATGGATAAAGGCATAAAGGGACCCACCAAAAAAGGAAAACAAAAACATAAACAAAAAGCAAAAATATTTTGAGAATTTAGGGATTTCATGAGAAGCCCAGCCTGGCCTTACAGCCTCTATCCTTTGACTGTCATTTTTCAGGTGTTCATCATATCAAACAAAATCATATCATACAAAATACAGATCCGCACTCCATTTACAAATGAGAAAAAGTCCCAAAAGATAAGTAACACATCTGAAGCCTCCAAGGTCAGACTACAACCCTAGCTTCTTGGGAAATTTTCATCCCTTCTAATAAGATAGATTTCCCCTAAAAGCATGGATTGGATTCTTTCCTTGGATTCTTTCCTAGACTCTTACTAAAACACATAGTACATTTATATTTCTATAAAATAAAATATAGAAAAGCAAAAAATCAAACAACCTTCAATCCTACCACCTCTGTAGCTAATTGAGGCTGATGGTAGTTCTCAGCCCCACTCTATTTCATGGAGATACATTATATGCTCCCTTTAACTGTAATATTAGTGGTGAAGGAGACAGCAGAGGATCAAGAATCCCATATTGATGCTGCCATAGGTTCCACCATCACTCCTAGGCAACAACTTAACCTCTGGGTGCCTCTTTCCTTACTTGGTATATGGACATAATAATCGTCCTCAGTTATAGGATTGCTGTGAGGATGAAGAGAGCCAAACCACATAAAATACTTAACGTAAGTTCTTGAAATCAGTGCATAACATACATTGACAGTTGTTGACAGTTACTGACAGTACATGAAATGTGGCGTAGCAAGCACACCTAGTACTGGCAGGTCATTCAGTTGCATTTGATTCAAATGAATAGGGTTGCCTTCAACGCTGAGTTGGTGACCAGCACTCTCCAATGCCCTATTCACTTCTTCAGCAGCCGCTTTCATTGCTTCAGGACTCCTATTGAAAGTTAAGAGGAAAGAAAAGATGTAAAGAAAATAAATTTCCCATAGTTGGAGGTCTGCAAACAACAGGCATCTTCTCTTATTTCAGCAAGGCAGTCAAGATAACAGGGAAGGTGAGAAGAGGACATTCCCCACCCTTCATACCCTATCTGGGCTTTGTCTTCAATTCTGGCAAGAATTGTCTTAGGGTTTTGCTACATAAAAGTAAAACTGTGCTCGCATGTGTATTAATGAAAAACCCTAAGCAAGCACGAAACACTCAAACGAGTAATAACCATTAGAAGGAAAATTGTAACTGAGATGACAATTGTAGAGTGTCCAAATGGAAGTTTAAATTGACTCTTAAAATTCATAGCACGATTTTAGGTAGAACAGCTTTTTCATTTATAATTTTGAATTTTGAATTTGAATTGATATTTATAATTTTAGGTTTTATTTTAGTGCATGGAAGTTTGTTGAAGCCTCAGTGCCCCTATATGGATCTATATTATGTAAATTCAGCAAATTGAGTCCCACAAATGTTTGAAAAGTATTTCTGTGACTGTCATAAAATATGGCTATGCTATATATTAAACTAATGTAACCTTACCAGGAATACATGAATTCATTCTGATCAAATGAACGGTAAGACGGCGATTATTAATTGAAGGGGAAAAAACCACGAATGCACAAATGAACAAGGCATGATCACTGCGCTGATTATTGTCTTTAAGTCAGTAGTCAAAAATATTTTCATGACTACTCATGGACTTAAATTGCTTTTGTGAGGAATCATGGGGAGTTAAGAGCAAAGGCCCTGAGCCAGGTGGCCTGAATTGATCCAGGGTCAGCCCAGCCGACCTCTGTGGCTTCAGGAACTTCCCTGTATCTGGGCCTCTTTCTATAAAACTCTGTTCTATTTTTGTAAGGATTGACTAGGTACACAGGCTTGACGTCCTTGATCGATGGCATGAGAAAGTACTACCCGCCTTTTTATTTAAGTTAAAATGTTTGAACTTGGGCTTCCTACCAGAATAAGGACACGGTTAATTTGATAGTCACCTAATCATTTGAAACAAGCTCCAGAAAGTGGCAGGAATGGTGTTCGCTTGCGAGGCCCAGAGGACGGCGAGGTGCGTCTTGGCCTTCTCAGCGTCGTCGAAGGTGGAGAGCGTGTCGTTCAGGTGCATGCGCAGGCGGATCAGCTCGGAGACGCTGGCCCGCACGCGGAGCCTGTCGTGCCGCAAGTCCTCCGCCAGCTTCTCCCGGGCCTTGTGCGCTGTCTTGAACGCTCGAATGGGGAGGCCGGCGGCCAGGGCCGGGAAAACCTTGTCAAATTGCTTAAAGTTGTCAAGGTTGTTGAGAATGAGGGCTTTTTGTGTGTCTTGCATTGTAAGATCTCTGCCAAAGAGAGTTAGATACCCAGCTTCAAACATCACTCGGTAGCAGAAGGAGTACATGCCCTCGGTCACCCAGGCTGCACTCTTCGATGTGGGAGGGACCGGTGGTCTCAGAATGAACTGGAGGTTTTCCATCATGGCTTCCGTGAGAGCATCCAAGGCTTTGCCCTGCAGGGTCTTGTTGAAAGTACTGTTTATGTTTTCAGTGGTGTTTCCATCACTGGGGTCAATGCTTCTGTGCCCAAATGCCTATCAGCAAGTAAAATGTGTAAGAGGAAAGGAAGAGGACAAAAAGGGGTTGGGGGAGAAGAGGTTAGATACTTTTATCCTTCTCTGCTTGGCCTTCCCATGTACAGTTTCATAGCACTTTTCAAAGAAACGGCCAAGCCATAAACTTCACTAAAGCCAAATTTAAATCCTTGCTGTTCAGTGGCACTTCCTGGGACCCTTCCAGTCACCTGTTTCTCATGCTACTTACACTTATTTGCACACTAATTTGGTACTAATTAATCAATAATATTTTTAGTCATTGGTTCTGTCTTGTATTCTTTATAAATGCAGTTTAACAGACTTTAAGCCACTTTGTGGCAAAGACTATGTCTAATAATTCTTTGCAGAAACTCAGTAAGAACTAATTGTTTTCTCTGTGTCAGAGTTGATTCCTTGACAAAACGGCCTGAGAATGGTAAAACAACTGTAGAATTTTGACTTTTACCCATGCACTTGCACAGTGTCTCCACACTGTGCAGACATCATTAATGTGATGAGTTTGTACCTGGCTTTTAATACAGTTCCATCTGGCTAAGTAAAGAATTTAATTTTTATTTTGCCCTCATTAGCTAGTCAACAAATGACAAATCTATAACTATTGTGGATTTTTAAATATTAGTAGGAGGCTGTGTCTATTGTGATTTATTATATATCTAAGAATCTCCACAATAGGAAACTCTCAACACCTCTATCCTACAATATAAGAATATGAAAATTACTAAATGCACTTATATTTTAAAAAACTAGGAAACAAACAGAATTTTGTATACATGCAAAAGAAGTTACCTTGGCAGAAGTAGTGTAGTGAAATTTTTTCCAATCAAAATATTTTCCATGGCACAACACTTTATGGTATGACAAGGAATTTGTAATGAAATGGACATATTTTCCCATTAGTTTGCAGGTAAAAACATGACCATGTTTCCTCTGATTTGCTCTGAGGAACTCAAGAGGATTGACCCCAAATTTCAGAGCACAACCCAGGTATGGAATCAGCCCATTCTCCAGAGGTGGCTCACCTATTTTCCTGTGAGACATAAATGTATAACAGATATGAAAAATGACATATTTAGTTTTTTTATACCAGGTTTTAAAATTCCATGCTGACTTCAAACTTCATATTTCTAGTTTATAAATACTTCTTTTGTTCATGGGGCCATGCTCTTTTACTAAAATAATGGGTTTCATTAATCTAGTAACATGATATGTTGGATAAAATAATTATTAAATCCATCTATCTATCTATCCTTGCGTTTACGAAGCACTTCTTGATTGACTACTGTATGCTAACCATTTTTCCCAATGATAGGAGTAAAAGGATCAACAGTATTGAACAGGGAAGCTATCATTATTTGTTTTGGTAGATTTAATTTAAAAAAGCACTTTTAAAATCAAAATAAACATTTTTGTCTAACAATATTAAAGTGTGTAAGTACAGAAAACCAAATTTATTGTTTAGTAATGAAGGTAAAAGAACACTAGATAAATGAGCTAAAAGAAAATTTAAAGAACTGTCCTTACCTTCTCCTTATTCCAAAAATAAGCCATAAACAGCAACATACTGCTACACCAATTCCCCAGATCATATGTATAGTCATCATTTTGCAAATCTTGTGCAAAACTCCTGAGGAGGAGAACCTATGGTTAGAAAGGGAAGGATGTACCTGAACAAAGTGTCAAGCTCTTTATGTACATGGAAACCTGATCCAATAACTTGAACTTTAGCAGCCAAAGCAATTAATCATTTGTCCAACCAATTAGGAAAAAAAAAAAAGAAGTAGTTTTAACTGGCCTTGAACTAAATCCTAGTATCAGAAGAGGTTCCAAAACAACCAGAGACCTGCAGTACTTGATAAGCTAAAGGTCTTCTCAAGCATATGTTGACTCAACATTCAGACCTGGGGACAACAGCTAATATTAAAGTTGGGTGGGGTCTATAAAAAGAACAAATAAACTGGTTCAAGATAAATATATCTAACAAAGATTTAAAATATAGTTTAAACAAAAGCAAGTATGTTATTCACCAAACTAACAATTTTATTTTGTTGCCTTAAAGGAATTAACTTAAAGAACTTACCAGAAAGAGTATGATAAAGTTCAAAAAAAAAGAAGTGGGGAAATATTTCACTTTCTTCATGTTTTATTGCTTTTGCAAATCACATTCTTTAGCAAATTTTATTGCTTTTATCAAATCAGACGCTAACATGTTACCTAACATCATTAAGAAAATATTCCATATAAATGCATCTTCTAGGTAAAGCACAGCTTGTTTTAAGCATCCAGACTTTACAAATCATATTTGTAATTAAAATGTTTATTAATAATTCTAATCATTAAAGTAGTATATTTTATTTCAAATAATGTAAGACTAACAGAAGTAAATGTTGGTGGAAAGTGACTATCAATTTGTAATTTATGTCCTATACTATTCCCACTCAGGGGTAACCACTGTAAAATTTTTGGCATATATCCTTCCAAACTTTGACATAATTTTTGTTTTTGCTTTTTGTTGTGCTGGTGATTGAACCCAGGGTTCTATGTGCATGTTTGGCAAGTGCTCTGCTTTTGAGCTATAGCTGCTACAGCCTCAGCCCACATACTTCACATACATATCATTTGACATTCATTAAGTTCTAAGAACTCTTCCAAGGTATTCTGGTTGTATTGTACGCAGTAAGATAACCTCCTTCTGTCATAGAGACTATTTCAGTAGGGAGGCAGATGCTAAGATTTGTGTAAAGAATAAAATAAAACAGTAGGTGCAGAGCTACTGAGGAAAGAGGACAACTTTGGTGATCAGAGGAGGAATGAGGAAAATTAATTAATGTATGCCCAAAAGATTTTGGACACTTGAAGTTTTGGATGTAGACTCTATAGGCTTATTTCATAATGTTTTGCTTCCATAAACAGAGACCGCAAATCTTTTATCACATGATTTATGACCGTAAACAACGGCACCAATCATTCTATAGCAGCATGTAGATTTTTCTCAGAATCTAGGCTTTTTAGTTCTTTGTACACATTTAATATACAGTATTTCAACTGTTTTCTTAATAAACTGTTTTCTTTTTTGTGTGATTCATAAAGAACTGAAATTTTATGTGGCCAGTCACTGCATAGTATCACAGTCAGAAAAGATGCCAATCTAATACAGTAACCAAATAATTAACCCTCTAATGTCACCTCCCAGGCAAATGAAAACAGACAAAAATGGAAAGCAAAGAGCACTGTGTAACTCTCAATACGGTCTTTGCAGCTGCCTGTGAACCTATAATTATGTCAAAATGAAAAAATTTTCAAAATGGCAAAGGAGAGTACATTCACAGCTTCAGAAAAACTTCCTTATGTCCTGTCTCCTTCATCTGCTTCCAGGACACCACAAACTCTTTCAAATGAAACCTGATTGTTAGGGTTTTATCCAAATTTCCCTTTTCCCAATCTGTTATTTCTACTCCCTCACTTATAATCTTTTTCTATTAAAAAAAAAAAAAAGAGAGAGAGAGACACAGAAAAAGAGAGGCTTGAAGTCAGGGGTTGTGGCCCACATCTGTAATCCCAGCACTGAGGAGGTGAGGCAGGAGGATTGCTGTGAGTTCAAGGCCAGGCTGTGCTACAAAGTGAATTCCAGACCAGCCTCAGCAAAGAGAGAGAGAGAGAGAGAGAGTTTGACTTTGTATTTTTTTTCTTGTTACATATGGTTTATGTCTTTCCTCCTGAGAATGTCACTAATGCTATTACATTTTCACAAATGGCACTACCAGAGCCCTAATATGCTCCTTCTAATCCAGGGCCTGGGAATTCAGATGCATGCTATAGTTAACAAAACTATTAACAGCCAGGTGTGATGGTGCATACCTGTAATCCCAGCACTCAGGAGTTGAGGCAGGAGGATTTCCATTAGTTTAAGGCCTGCCTAAGCTACATAGTGAATTCAAGACCACCCTGGACTACATAGCAAGACCCTGTCTCAAAAAAAGAAAAAAAAAACCTATTAATACACTGCAAGAAAATACCTGAATTATGCCCTAATCATGAGTAAAATGCATAAAGTTTCATGTAAGGTTTTTAGAACTCTTTCTGTGTTTTTAACATAGTCCCTGGTGCATTAGGTACCAGACCATAATGGAATAGACTGATGAAACCTTGTTATGATTGATTTGGAGCTTTCATAATTAACTCTTGGGAAATTTGTCTATTCACATTTGAGCCATATTCTCTTGAAGCTATAGGATAAAAAAGATACGTGGTTGCAAGTACAGTTTGTCTGGTACTGAAGTGCAGTTTTGAATCTTAAACACCTGATTTTGAAGTTGTAAATGCCCAGAAGACTAGAGAACAAAAAGGTGTTGATAAGTTCTATTTCAGAGAATCATCATAATTTTTATGTTTACTTTAAGATTCTTACTTTTTAAAAGAATATTGATGATATTTTCTTACTTGAATGAACTAGTTAACTCAGACACAGCAGGTATTTTAGTCATTTACAAAGGAGGCACAAAGGTTGGAAAGTGTCATATAGCTTGAAATAGTTCAAATGGCCAATGGAAAGAAAGCTGGAATTAAATCTGGGTTTGCATCTTGACTCTGCCAGAGTACCTTTAAGACAAATGTTTATCTTTTCCAAGTCTTTGCTTTCTTATATATAAAATGGGGATTATTATAGTGCATGCCTCATAATGTAGAGAGATTAAAATGAAATGAGACAATATAAGTTAAATGTTGGCTTAGTGTTTGGCACAGTTATGCTCAAAAATATTTCCTCTAATTAAGTGGCAAATCCAGGATTCAACCTAGATTTCACTGAATTAAAGCTCATCATTGCACCTTTATAGCCTAGTACCTCATGAAAAGTTTAAGGGAACAAAAGGACACTTGGCTGCAGATTTAGGCAAGAGTAAGCATACCACTACCTAGAATCCACTATTCAAATAATATTGATTTCATGTATTTCTTCCATTTATTCATATTAATTTTATAGCTATTTTGATTTTGTTTGTTTGTTTGAGACAGGGTCTTGCTATGTACTTCAGGTCTTGAACTCTCCATGTAGCCCAAGCTCACCTTGAAATCACGGTGATCCTCCTGCCTCAGCTCCTGAGTGCTGGGATAACAGGCATGTAATCACCCCACCCAGCTTAGTAGCTATTTTGTGCAAGTTATTATTGAAGTGCTAGAGATACAGAGGTAGATAGGACAAAGGTTTATGGGCAATCAACCAGAAAACCAATACATTGTTTGGCTTTTGATTAAAAAACAAAATCACCATATCTATGTTAGAAAAGCTCAAGTCACTGCATCAATGTTTGGTGCCAAAGGCACCAAATCCTTGACTTGAAATTATACTACAAATCTACTATGATAAAAAAGGGAAAAAAACAGCATGATACTGACAAAAAAACAAACAACAACAACAACAAAACAGACCAAAGATCAGTGGAACAGATTAGAAGATATAGAAACAACTCCAAACAAACACATTCAGCCACTTTATCTTTAACAAAGGAGCCAAACACCTTCACTGGAAGAAAGATAGCCTCTTCAATAAATGGTGCTGGCCAAAGATTAAACCTAGACCCTTGGGCCAGGGATTTAGCTCAGTGGTTCTGGGCCTGGCTCATAAACCTAGACCCATATCTCTCACCATGTACTAAACTAAAATCAAAATAGATCAAAGATCTAAGTATCAAAACAGAAACACTAAATCTGCTGGAAGATAGAAGAGGCAGCACTCTTGAAGACATAGGGTAGGCAAAGATTTTATGAACAAAACCCAAACTGCATAGGAATAATCAGAAAGAACAACTTGGATCTCAACATATTAAAAAGCTTTTGGACAGCAAAAGAAACCACCAACAGAAAAATATTTTTGCCAGCTGTTCCTCAGACAAGGGACAAATATTTAGAATATATAAAGAATTCAAAAAATTAAACCCCCCCAAACTTAAAGACCCAGTCCAAAAATAGGCATCTGAAATGGAGACATTTCTCAGATGAAGAAGTACAAACAGCAAATAAATATATAAAAAATGCTCAAAATCATTGGTCATTTGAGAGATGCAAATTTTAACAACATTGAGATTCCGTCACACTCCAGAAAGAATGGCTATTATCAAGAAATCAACCAATATCAAATGGTGGTGGGGGTGCAGGGAGAAAGGAACCCTTCTCCATTGTTAGTGGGAGTGCAGACTGGTGCAACCACTGTAGAAATTGATATGGAGATTCCTCAAAAAACTAAAACTAGAGGTTCCATTTGACCTAGGTATTTCCTTTCTTGGTATCTTCCCCAAAGAATTAAAAGCATTGGGCTGGGGATTTCGTTCAGTGTCACTGCATCTGCCTCACAAGCACAAGGTCCTGAGTTCGATCCCTGGTACCAAAAAACAAAAAATTAAAAGCATCATATCACAATGATATATGCATACCCATGTTTATAGCAGCACAATTTGTAATAGCTAAGTCCTGGAAACAGCCCAAGTGCCCATCAATAAATAATAAATGAATGAATAAAGAAGATGTGTTTTTTTATATGAATGTGATCATTATGTGTATCTAAAGTGTAACAATAAAATTAATTTTAAAAAATATCTGGTGCCAAAATCTTCACATGCTTGTCTCATTTTA